TTTAGTCGAGGTTCACGTCATTTAGTCGTAGTGCTAGTCGAAGTTCGTTTTAAGAATACGAAATGACGTAATTTTAAAGTTTTAGCTCGAACTACGACTAAAGTTCGTTTTAAGAATACCGGGGTAAAGATCAAAGGACTGTACGCACGCGCTATGTTCGAGAGCGGAGATGTGCGTCCTTTTGTTGAATTACCTTGATCTAAATTTGATTTAAATGTATTACATATTAAGGCACATTGTAGTCGATCTATAGCATAGTTACCAACTGTCTCGCATTTCAAAATGATTTTGGATGAAACACACATTGCAGAAACACATGCGTGACTCATAATTTGTCACGCATTTAGCACAAATCTATGCGTGATAACGAATTATCACGAATTCAGGCTACAAGAGTACCAGTACCAGTAATTGAGTCATTAGAGAGTACTTGATATTTATGTGAATATTTGTTTCACTGACGCGTTACTAACAATTTATCAGTGAAATGTTTAGGTCAACATAGTTCTGGTGCTCAATTACATTGAAACTACAAATAGTTTTGCTTATGTCACCGTTATTGTCAAGACACACTCCCTGAAATCGTTTTAAAACAGCTTTAATGCTCAGATCGTTGGAGCGCCTGGGGCCATGCCCCCTCGACCCCAGCTGGGGTATACAACCTAACTCTAGAGTACTTCGAAGAAGTCTCTGGCACAACGCTTGCTTGAAATTGGAGGTGCCATCGGACCCGAATGATCATCGATTTCTACATAAAGAACACTGCAGCACCTAGGTCTATACAATTCAAGTGGGCAATAATAAATTAATTAAAGTACAGTATTTAATTTATATTCAAAATTGATTCCAAAGAGATAGAACCTCCACTAGCAGGCCCGTAGCCAGGTCATTTCAAGGGGGGGGGGGGTTCTCTGGGCGTGGGGTCCAAGTGCCTGCCTAAGGGCCACGGTGGGGTCGGGGGCGAAACCCCCGAAGCCAGGGGCCCCCGAAGCCAGAGCAGTTTTTGTGTTTAATGGGTCTATATAATGTTATAAAAGCAGTTATGTTTTGAAAAAGATCTATGTAATAAAAAGGTGGTAATATAATAAAATTAGAAAATATTTCGTGAGTTGATTCCCGTACGATTATAAATCGTAACGGTACTGCATCGTGAGTGGATTTCCCGTACAATTAAACATCGTAACGGTACTGGGTTTGGTCTACAGGAGTTCGTGCTTCGAACCTAAATAGCAACTCCCTGGTTTATATTTAAATATTTAAAATTGTTTATAAATTTATTTAAAATACTATATGAATTAATGTAATCATTAAAGTTTATGGTAATAATTAATGTTTAAATAAAGCAAAAGATTGAAACACGTTAAATACAGACACAAAGTATACATACAGTGGACTGTAGACCTATTTCTAGATTACAGAAAATATGTAAATCTGTATTAAAATGATATAAATTTATATATATATATATCTGTCTCTTATACACATCTTCATTTTGTCATTATTGCATCACGTTTTTGTGAAAATAACCCACCTTAAAGGACTATCTGTCGTTTTCTTCTTTGCCACAGTGAACGAAAAAAAGTCTTTATCACTAAAAATTAACAAACACTCGTTTTGACACACTCCGTTCTGTTGTGTGTCTGCTGTTGAAAACAGCCTTCCTAATTTTGTGACTGGCTATGATGACTGAGAGATGGACCATGTTGACTTAATAATATTTTGTTTGGGATGGAAAAAAGGAGAGTCAATTTCCCAAAAATGCTCCATCAGCAAATAGGTTAGTGTGCGCTGTGGACAGTATGGCTATGGAATTTACTAACCACACAGTCCACAATCAGGTGATTAAGTCGCAAAACTTCAGCTGCATTTGGTGGATTAAGTCGCAAAACTTTAGCTTCGTTTTTGTGGCGTAATTTTACTCTAGGTAGACGGCGATCGGTTTCGTTACCGGTTGGTACATTTCTTACAAACATTCAGGCAAAGGCCAGTCAATTAAAGTTGAGACGGGAGCCGGGTTTTTATCGATGTTTGCCATCCTTATATGTGAGCCATCGTAAATTCATGAATGAAGGTTTGTATCGCAGGCTAGAATTTAAAAACGGGTGACCAAATAATGAATTAGATGCTAAATTTTGAATTAATGCTGGGTAAGTTAAAAACAGATATTCCGTCCAAATGGGTCTCATTCAAAAATTCGAGGGGGTTCGCTAGAAAAGGGGGGTTCGCCCGAACCATAAAACCCCCCCTGGCTACGGGCCTGACTAGGATGAACATATGCAAACACACACAATATATGGTACAAACTTGCATTGAACTGTCTTCATAAAACTTAATCTAAGATAAACTTCATATAAAATAATAATATTTCATCCGAACATAAATTATTAAATTATTAAATGTAACTGTTATCTTTTAAATAAACTCTCTTACGTCCAATCGGCTAAAGGGGTATAACAGGCCTAGATTAAGCGTTTAGTGCAAGTACAAACAAAGGTACATGATTAGAATGAAATATAAAATTTAAGCAAACAAAAACAACATATCCAAAACAAGTCTACGTTATATTAGGCCTATATTGAAAAAAAAATGTAAACTTTTTAAAAATTCGGCCAAATATACTTTGGCCCTGACTTTTCAAAAGTTATGGCCAGGCAAATTTTTATACGGCCAGATTGAGGAATCTGGCCGTCAAAAAGGCCAAATGGCAACCCTGCTCTTTGCGCCACTAGAAGTAAATGTTTGCTGCCATCGACGGTCGATCATGATCGCATCATGCATTTTCACATAGGGGCCTAATGATAAACATTCAGCTAGCGAATACGTTAATAAATAATAAAATATATATATTCGTGATTAAACATCTCTTATATTATTTTTATTTCTTTTCATATCATTTATTATTTCCAGGCAATATAAAATACAGATTAACAAAGACACAAACCGGAAGATAAACTAAAGTAAACTGAATTACTATTGTCAGGCTCTCCTTACAAAAACACAACAACAAACGTACCGTATATACTTTCACTGAATATTGAATAATAAAGCAGAAACACTTTGACTTGAATTGGCTTTGAATTGAATCACGTCTTCTTAAACTACAATTTACTGCTTACTGTTGAGATTTTTTGTTGTAATGACTTTATGAATATCATTAGAAAAAACGTTATCGAGAAATCTGTCTCTTATACACATCTAGATGTGTATAAGAGACAGAATATACATTGGCCGTGACTTTTCAAAAGTTATGGCCAGGCAAATTTTTATACGGCCAGATTGAGGAATCTGGCCGTCAAAAAGGCCAAATGGCAACCCTGCTCTTTGCGCCACTAGAAGTAAATGTTTGCTGCCATCGACGGTCGATCATGATCGCATCATGCATTTTCACATAGGGGCCTAATGATAAACATTCAGCTAGCGAATACGTTAATAAATAATAAAATATATATATTCGTGATTAAACATCTCTTATATTATTTTTATTTCTTTTATCCATCTGTACAAAACCAACTGAAAATCAACCCTCGCGGTTAGGCCCAGTCTAGGCTAGGCCTTAGTACTACCGACTGTAGCCTGCCTAGGCCACAAGCCCCTGGCAGGCGCCTACTGTACTCCTCTTACTACTAAGGGCTAAGCCTAAGGTGAAGGTAGGCTAGGCTAGCTATTCTGGGCTAAAGATTGCCCATTGAGCTGTAAGCCTATATTAAACCTGGTTAAAATGTAGGTCTAGATCCGGAGGTTAGATAGGGGTATAAATTTAGAATATTAATGTGAGGTCTCACTACAAAATGAGTCGCATTGTTTAATAGAAAATCAAAAAATTAGTTTATATTACATTTTGGTAGATCACATTATAAGCTTTAATTTGGTTTTTGAATGGCTTCCCTACGATATAGATCCAGAGATGTGAGCATTTAAAGTTTAGGTGTATGAGAACGAGGTTTTGAGAAAATCGGCCTCAAAGATAAACTATAACTTGTACAAATATAGGACTAGAGTTACAGAATATGCGAAGAGAACACTGTTTTAGTAAGAAAATTCACTTAAAAAGTACACAATCATAAAATATATGTACCAAAATTTTGTAAAAATGTTGCCTTTGACCTATTTTGGTGAATATCTCAATGTGATTTCACCAACAATGTGTCTCATTTCATGTTGAGACCTCATAAATGTCTGGTTTACTTGTTTCCCTTAACTACTACGGGACCGAGGCAAAGCACTCGGTGCTTAAAAGCCCTTCTTGTAAATAAAGTCACTATTAGCGTATGGAGCAAACTTCAGTGGATGGTTGGACCATTGAGCCTTGATTTGGAAGTATTAATAGTTGAACATGATACTGCTTCACTAAGAAGTGCATTCCAAAGCAAGACCACCCTTCTAGAAAACGTATTCCCCCTAAAATTAATCCTGGAACAACTAAATTTCATCTTGTATTCATGACCCCTTGTTTGTGAGTCCCAGTCAAATTCAAAAAAACACCTCATTTGAAATTGAGTCAAAACCCTTAATTATTTTAAACACTTGGATCTTATGTCTAGTGTATACTATCGAGGCTAGGCCTAGGCCCTAGGCAATTATTATTATTATAATACTATTAGTACTGGCCTATATAGGGCCCTTGGCTGATTTCGATTACAAATCAACCATTTTTTCTCAGAATCAAATACCATCAATTGATGCTTTTAGCATGATGTTCCTCTGCAACATATAGTGTATCAAAAGCTTATATTTTACCAATTATTAATTTATTATGTCTGTTTTTTTTTTTCAATTAAGATGTGATGTCAATGCAGATCCAGCTCCATTGTCTAAGTATGTGGTAGCATTTGCTAAGAAAGACAAAACCAGAGGAACACCTTAGAAAACTACTGTATGCACTGATCAACTGGAAGTGTTTTTACCAACAAGTAAGTAAATCCTACATTCTTCCAGATGAAACACAAGTACAGCAGCTGGTAGAATTCAACAGTGGTGGAGATGCTTGCCTCCTGATCCCAGGATTGTGAGTTTTTACGACTGAAAACAACTCCACTTCCTAAGCCTCGTAAAGAGGCTTAGTTTATAAAGCATTATTCTCATCCTGTAAGTGGGGAGTGTACTTGCTGTTGGATGTGAGGGAATTCAGTTTATAATATTAACATACACCGCAGATACTCTGTTACCCTATATTGCTATATTGACAATTTAATTTAATTTATTATTATATATATATATATATATATATATATATATATTATAAATTGGTTTGGCTCTGTTTTTTATTATTATTATTATTATTATTATTATTATTATTATTGAATACATCAGTGGTTGAGATGCTTGCCTCCTGATCCCAGGATTGTGAGTTCAATTCCTGTAACAGCAGGAATTTTACTCATGACTGAAAACAACTCCACTTCCTAAAGCCTCGTAAAGAGGCTTAGTTTATAAAGCATTATTCTCATCCTGTAAGTGGGGAGTGTACTTGCTGTTGGATGTGAGGGAAATTTAAAAAAAAAAGGGTAACTGAGCTGCCTTCAATAAAAAAGTGGCTGGAGGCCCATGTCTAAGAAGAAAATATATTTCATACCCCAAGCAAAGAAATACAAGCAACATATTAAGTGCAAACTTTTTCTTGATTTCTTTCTTTTGTGAACATTTGTATTTTATATGAAATTAAATAATTATGCAAGAAATTAAATGCAAAATGTCAATGATACATAATTATTTATATTTATTTGTTAAGCATATTAGATATAGTAGCAGTTAGTAGGTTAAAAGAGAGAGTGAACCACTTGACACCTCGTTACAGTTGCACACCTTTACTAGGGAGCTTTTGATTGCACATTTACGGTAGGGTGTAACAGTGTCACAAAGAAATCATATGCACATCTGAACACATTAAGTTGGTGTCGACTATAGGATGCAGAATGGCCCATAACTATCTCGTACAGATGATGATGTTGCACAAAATCTAAAGCTCTTATATTGAAGCTTGGCTTCAAAAGATTCTATTAAAATAGATGAAGTTCAGCATTATATAGTTGGAGGACTCTCTGGGTTAAAACCTTTGGAGACAGACCATGCTTTTATTGATATAAACCATTTGTTTTACTTGTCCATATATGTATGCATGTGTTTGTTCATGTTTATTTATGACCTTGTTCCTTCTTAGGTTATTGATGAAGACGATCAAGACTACCAGAGGTCCAGAAGAACCCAGAGCACAAGTGCAAGGTAATGTTAAATCATCAAATATCATTTTAATATAATTAAACTTTATTTAACCACAAGCCTTGTTCACTTCAGTTGAGCCTTTGAGCAAGGCTGTGAATTGGAATAGAGCTGAATAATTGCTGATTATCATGCTTGCCTTCCAATACCAGGGTTCTGTTCAAACCTTATCACAGCATTTTATATTTCTTTCTGCTAAAAACTTCCATTGCTCTCTTGAATAATTAATAAGCATCTTTCTTCCTGTAATTGAAAGTAGGAATCATAAACAAAAAAAATTATTAATAATTAACACCTGCCTACTGTAGTTAAAAACTTTAAGTCTTACATTTCAACAATAGTTTTAATTTAGAATATTAATTAAGATAATGTTTATTTTGTTTGGTTCTTTTGTTCATAACTATTCATACCTGGTCTTATCAATAAATCCTAAACTATTGAATGTAGAAATCATAAACAAAACAATCATAAAAGTAGCAACTACTTTCAATTTGATTAGAATTATTAATAAATTACAACTTACCTATTGTAGACAGACTTCCAAATCTTACAATTCTGCAGTAGTTTTAATAAAGAATATTAATTAAGATTATATTTGTTTTAAGGTTTTCTTGTTGTCATAACCATGCATGCATGTACTTTTCCCATAAATCCTAAACTATTGAATGTAGAAATCATAAACAAAACAATCATAAAAGTAGCAACTACTTTCAATTCGATAAGAATTATTGATAAATTACAACTTACCTATTGTAGTTACAGACTTCCAAATCTTACAATTCTGCATTAGTTTTAATTTAGAATATTAATTAAGATTATATTTGTTTTAAGGTTTTCTTGTTGTCATGACGATGCATGCTTGTACTTTTCCCCTAAAAATAAGATGTAGCATATAATTGAAAGTTTTATTTGAACACACCTAATTTTTTTTAAAATAAATAATTCTGAATAGAAGTACGTTGTGATTAATATTTGAAATTCAATATTGTGATTCTACAATAGAGATGATCGTAGAAGAGCTAACACTCAAGATGCGGACAGAGGGGGGAGGCAAAGAGATGATAGAAGATCTTCTAGTCGAAGGGGTGGATAAAGGCACTGAACGTTGGAATACGTCAAAAGGTAATGCTAACATTTTGCAATGCGTCAGCATTATGCCACTGGACCACCAATTGTAATCAAGAAATTGTATGCTTAACTAATAATGATGTGAGTCTTATGAAGCATTTAACACAAAAGAAATGCTTCTAGGCACTTTACACAAAAAGAACACAGGAAATGGAATGTTCACATCAGTTACTCTGGTCTCAGTTATTCTGTTGTAGAGTTATATTTATACTTTGCAGTGAGTGCATTGAGACACAGACAAATACCTTAAGAAATCAACATATCCATGTGCTATACTGTAGGAAAATGTCAAACTTGAAGGGACACTGACGGCAAATGTTAACACAGGGCATTCACTGGGCATTATTGACAAGGTATTACTCACAGAGCATACTCACATAGTAATATCTGTCCAGCTTATCAAATTCTATTTGATAAAAAACTGTTGTATGCCCATATATAGTCATTATGTACCTATACAGTACATGGTCAGAATATGATGTCACCATTTATTTAGACATAGTCTAACAAACTAACAATAGTCACACTATTGTTAGAATGTACCACTGAAAGTTGTCATTGCAAAGCATTTTGGTGTGAGTTCACACTCGCTATACTGAAGGATTACTAGCGGTAAAGCTTAGCCTTACCAGTCAACCATGCCACAATAAGAGTCGGTGGCTGATTAGTAAGGTTAGGCACTACTAGCTACAGATTTAACATTGGCGCTAATTTGAGCCACTCCTCGCCCATGGTTTATCTATTAGAACTAAGTCTTCTCAGGTAAGAACTTGAAATGAAGGTCCAGTGTACACATCTAGCTTGTGTCCACTTTAAAAGATTTATTGCATCTTTCGGAGGAGTAGGGGGTTACCCCGATCCTAAGGATGTGGTGATAAATAATGTGAACATGTACAACTACTATAAATGCCTCTTTACTGCGACTAGGTAGTCATGGACCACACCCATACTAATTCAGCACAAGGATGCTGGGAGTTATAGGTTATCCTCCACCTTCCTACATACTTTACTACTGACCACACCCATACTAATTCAGCACAAGGATGCTGGGAGTTATAGGTTATTCTCCACCTTCCTACATACTTTACTACTGACCACGCCCATACTAATTCAGGACAAGGATGCTGGGAGTTATAGGTTATCCTCCACCTTCCTACATACTTTACTACTGACCACACCCATACTAATTCAGGACAAGGATGCTGGGAGTTATAGGTTATTCTCCACCTTCCTACATATTTTACTACTGACCACGCCCATACTAATTCAGGACAAGGATGCTGGGAGTTATAGGTTATCCTCCACCTTCCTACATACTTTACTACTGACCACACCCATACTAATTCAGCACAAGGATGCTGGGAGTTATAGGTTATTCTCCACCTTCCTACATACTTTACTACTGACCACACCCATACTAATTCAGCACAAGGATGCTGGGAGTTATAGGTTATTCTCCACCTTCCTACATACTTTACTACTGACCACACCCATGCTAATTCAGCACAAGGATGCTGGGAGTTATAGGTTATCCTCCACCTTCCTACATACTTTACTACTGACCACACCCATACTAATTCAGCACAAGGATGCTGGGAGTTATAGGTTATTCTCCACCTTCCTACATACTTTACTACTGAGCAGAACCATGCCCATTTAGAGGGCAGCCATTTTACTAAAAGTGCGTTGAATTTCATCTAATAGGCGGTTTACATGTAGTATAGTGGCAGCATTTAACAATTGAATTAAATATTTTTCAGGAAGAGGTCAACACGATTACAGGAACAAAGACCAATCGGCAAACAACCAGCACATGGACCATCTCAGTAACATGGCAAATGGCATCAGCACACGTCTGGGAAGCAAATCCGGTAACAGACCACAAAGTAGAGGAGGCTTTCGTGGAAGAGGACGCAACAGCTGGGAGCACAACGAGGAAACAATAGAAGCAATTATGATCATCCAGTGCCTCAAAAAACCAGACCTTATATATGGGCTGGTGCAAACTTGCAATATTCTTATACGCATCTAACTTGTAACTCTTAAACTGTTGTTATTTTGTAGCCTTTGACCTGAAGCAAGGGATTACCAACGATCTGTCCGGCCATCTTTTGGGCGGCCAACAATTATTTATGACGGCCACTTTTGCTGTGGTGGCTTGGACGGCTTGGTCTATTCTGGTCTACCTTTAGCAAATTCTTTATATGCCTACTGTACGTGTATAAAATGTTGCAATAAACTAAAGCCAAATTATATTTACATTTGATAAAACAATATTTATTAAATGAATTTGCGTTGATTTCATACCAACATTTGGTGGGAATTCCCAAAAATGTAATGATAAACCATTGTCTACCGGGTAAAAATTTCACTTACAACACACGTATTATTCATGTTTAAAACATATTTATTCCCTGCTAGAATATGGACGGTTCTAAGTCGCCTACAACACTGTACTTCATGCACGTGGCTCTTACTCCAGTAATGCATAGTTGGGTTTGGAATTTACACTAGACTAGGGCGAGATGGAGATCCATCTGCATAGTCTAGAAAAGTAATCTGAGTAAACAATCGTAGCCGTGCGCAGCTATAGGTAGGCCAGCCTAGGCAAACTAAATTTTATACTTCCAAGGCCTAGGAATTAATGTACCATTAAGATTACGATCCTTGGAGAACTGATAAAAATAATATTGATGCATCTGGTCATGGCGTACAATTGTAAAATATGATCAAACATGCCTAGGGCCATGCTACATACTGACTCTGTTTTCTTTATTGATTTTATTCTTTTTATCTTGATTAATTTTGTTAATTATATTAGATACTGACACTAATTTCTACTTCTCAAATTTACTGTCTAGTCAGAGCACATCACTTAGTGCAGATGATGTTTTCACAAAGGCTGTTGAAATAGGCCGATTTTGCCATTGACACATGTGCAGATATTATGTAAAAAATACCAAGGGACAGACTTAAAAGTTGTTATCCAGGACCCTGGGATTAGAAGGCAAGCATCTTAACCACCAAGTTATTCAACTCTACTCCAGATTTTTATGTATGCATTCAATTATCTATATTGTAATTATAAGCATTTGTATATAGTCAATAGCTGGGAGGAAAACTGCTATATAAAAGTTTAAATGTAGCTGCCAGACTCATTGCTCTCACTTCTGAGTGTTCCCTACTGTACATCTTCCAATTGGTTACCCATTCATCTGAGAATTAACTTGTTATTTGTATAGAAGTTACTCCATAAATCATTCCCCACTACATCTCCAATCTAATTTAACTATTCTGCTGTTTGCACCTGGTTAGGTCTACCTCATCTTCATCATCTACCATTCTTAACTACTGGTCACCTTTATACTTGTGGCAATCATTCTTTTATTGTTGCTGCGCCGAAGCTTTGGAACGAATCTCTTGAGACTGTGTGAGTCTCCATCTTTGACTGGCTTCAAATCTTAGCAGCTCAAATCACATCTTTTCTTCTTTATATTAATTCTGAAGTTGGTTCCTTTTCATCTGGTTTTTGTTTTTAGTTCTTCCTTTTTTTTGTGCACTTGGGCTGTGGTGTCTTAGTGCATAGAGATAATTTTGTAATAAATAATAAATTTATATGTAAGTCATATTTAGTGCATTATCACAGATACTGTAATTCTCAAATAGAAGCCTATGGGCTACTTCTTTTTTTAGAACCCTAGAATGGGCTTCTTTTGAAGGTGGTATAGTTTTAGAGATGGGCTTCTTTTCAAGATTACTTTTCAAACTGAAAAGGGGACTTCTTTTCAAAAAGAATATTGTGAATATTTTGAATTTGCTAGTTTAAAACCTTGTAAGACTACTAAAGACCTTTTTAATTATGGAATTTGCAATCCTCTTCTTGCTCCTAATCAGTCATCTGATCTGTATGCGGTACTCTATTTGTTATTGTTTTGAATACTCGAGTTAATATCACTGTAAAGATCGGTGAACTATTTTTGCTGATTGTGTCTGTTGTAAACGACACCATAATTATTGTTTCTGTATTTTTAACATGAAATTTCTGTTACAATATCACTAGCAATTGTTTTAATGAAATGAAAACAATCAACTTGAAACGATTCAAGCCCGATGACAAGAGAAAAATTGTGACTTTGACATCTGTCAGTCAAAAAAATATGGTTAAGTCCTTAATCATTTCATTTTTTATTATTCAGATTGAAGAACAGTTCAGAAAAACGAAATCAAAGGTACTCCATATGAATGTCATGTGAAGAGAACAGTTTACGCCATCGACAACCAGTTTGCATCACAAAGCTAGATGGTGAAGGAACTTCAACGAGTTGTTTGTGGATTTCTTACAACGATGCCTGAGACGATCTCGCTCAAGTGGCTAAAATTCAACTAATACTGGAGGAGATTGGTAGAGAAATTGTCTGCAAGACTTACGGTGAAGTATGATTTTATTATAAATTTGTATAGAAATGTTTACCGACTGTGATAAAATGTATTACAGTATTTTTCATAGACATGATTTACACGATTATTATTATTGACTTGTGAAATTAATGTAGTGTAATTTATTGTATTAGGTCTGTAAAGTTGCACATGAATGCAACATTTCCAAAAAAAACCCAAAAAAAACAGCATCCACAACCTCCTCAATTACTTTCACAATCTTGGTATCATTCTGTTCTTTGAAAACCACATACTTCTAAAGCATAGAGTGATAACAAACCCATGGAAGCTGATGGACATCTTGAAAAAATCATCACAGTTGTGCAACCTAATGACAATGAAAAGGTGATTAAAATAATATACATCTCAATTATCATTAATTTCAGTGGCCTTCAGTGATCAAGATATGGCATAGGTTAGATGATGAAGGTACTGGAGGAAGAATTAGACAAAATCTATGGAGAGATGAGATTAGCAAAGATGAAACTTGCTTTGAGATCATCTTGGAATTGATGAGAATTAACTTGTTATTTGTATAGAAGTTACTCCATAAATCATTCTCCACTACATCTCCAATCTAATTTCACTATTCTGCTGTTTGCACCTGGTTAGGTCTACCTCATCTTCATCATCTACCATTCTTAACTACTGGTCACCTTTATACTTGTGGCAATCATTCTTTTATTGTTGCTGCACCGAAGCTTTGGAACGAATCTCTTGAGACTGTGTGAGTCTCCATCTTTGACTGGCTTCAAATCTTGGTGGCTCAAATCACATCTTTTTTTCTTTATATTAATTCTGAACTTGGTTCCTTTTCATCTGGTTTTTGTTTTTAGTTCTTCCTTTTTTTGGTGCACTTGGGCTGTGGTGTCTTAGTGCATAGAGAAGATTTGTATAACTGGTCACCTTTATACTTGTGGCAATCATTCTTTTATTGTTGCTGCACCGAAGCTTTGGAACGAATCACTTGAGACTGTGTGAGTCTCCATCTTTGACTGGCTTCAAATCTTGGCGTCTCAAATCACATCTTTTTTTTTTTTATATTAATTCTGAACTTGGTTCCTTTTCATCTGGTTTTTGTTTTTAGTTCTTCCTTTTTTTGGTGCACTTGGGCTGTGGTGTCTTAGTGCATAGAGATAATTTTGTAATAAATAATAAATTTATATGTAAGTCATATTTAGTGCATTATCACACATACCGTAATTCTCGAATAGAAGCCCATGGGCTACTTCTTTTTTTAGAACCCTAGAATGGGCTTCTTTTGAAGGTGATATAGTTTTAGAGATGGCTTCTTTTCAAGACTACTTTTCAAACTGAAAAGGGGACTTCTTTTCAAAAAGAATATTGTGAATATTTTGAATTTGCTAGTTTAAAACCTTGTAGGACTACTAAAGACCTTTTTAATAATGGAATTTGCAATCCACTTCGTGCTCCTAATCAGTCATCTGATCTGTATGCGGTACTCCATTTGTTATTGTTTTGAATGCTCGAGTTAATATCACTGTAAAGATCGGTGAACTATTTTTGATTGTGTCTGTTGTAAACGACACCATAATAACTGTTTCTGTATTTTTAACATGAAATTTCTGTTACAAATGAAATGAAAACAATCAACTTGAAACGATTCAAGCCCGATGACAAGAGAAAAAATGTGACTTTGACCTCTGTCAGTCAAAAAAATATTATTAAGCCCTTAATCATTTCATTTTTTATTATTCAGATTGAAGAACAGTTCAGAAAAATTTTCAACGAAATCAAAGGTACTCCATATGAATGTCATGTGAAGAGAACAGTTTACGCCATCGATAACCAGTTTGCATCTCAAAGCTAGATGGTGAAGGAACTTCAACGAGTTGTTTGTGGATTTCTTAAAACGATGCATGATACGATACCGCTCAAGTGGCTAAAATTCAACTAATACTGGAGGAGATTGGTAGGGTAACTGAGTGCAAGACAACGATGAAGTATGATTTTATTATAAATTTATATAGAAATGTTTACCGACTGTGATATAATGTATTACAGTATTTTTCATAGGCATGATTTACACGATTATTATTATTGACTTGTGAAATTAATGTAGTGTAATTTATTGTATTAGGTCTGTAAAGTTGCATATGAATGCAAAATTTCCAAAAAAAAACAAAAAAAAAACAGCATCCACAACCTCCTCAATTACTTTCACAATCTTGGTATCATTCTGTTCTTTGAAAACCACATACTTCTAAAGCATAGAGAGAACAAACCCATGGAAGCTGATTGACATCTTGGAAAAATCATCACAGTTGTGCAACCTAATGACAATGAAAAGGTGATTAAAATAACATACATCTCAATTATCATTAATTTCAGTGGCCTTCAGTGATCAAGATGTGGCATAGGTTAGATGATGAAGGTATACTGGAGGAAGAGTTAGCCAAAATCTATGGAGAGATGAGATTAGCAAAGATGAAACTTGCTTTGAGATCTTCCTAGAATTGATGAAGCAGTTTGGACTTCTGTGTGAGTAGAATTGTGTTTTTGCAATGGCAACATAAATTTCATTTTACAGAAAGTTGTTATTAAATTAACATGCATGAGATTTATTCAGATGTATATTTGATGATTATAAGAAAATTAATCTGGCAAACATAATCTCAATCAAAAATTACTATACAGAATATAGCTACATATTCTTCCACTTTTCTCAGCTTTAATTTTTTTATTTTAAAATTTGACAGTAAAATCAGGAAAACACATACCGCCGACGTTTGATTTCCAGCATTTTTTGTTTTTTAGCAAAAAGTTTTACTCACTTTTTGTTTTGTGTAGCAATTCCAAATTGTGCGCGGCATTTTTTCTGCAGTGATAATGAATGATTAATAAACAAAAGAAATTACACTTTTCAAATTTGAAAATCACAATGATGCGTCTTTATTTTTCAACACTCAAATATTCTCTTACTTTAATTTTCCCATCAATTAAATATTATACCCACCCTGTGTAGAAGTTGACCTGGTCATGATTACCAATTTACCGACCATGTGACAATAGCATAGGCCATTGCTTGTCTCACTCCCACTGTCGTACTGTCCCGTATTCACTGCAAGCAATGTCCGGCCCGGTTTCAAACTGCGAGAAAAAAAAGTAAGATGATTTGTATACTACACACATCCATTAGTCTTTTGTGCAATAGGATGTAGATTTTACAGTCAAATAATAGGTTAATTGTGTGATAAGTATACAGTATCATCACATTTTAAAAATATATTAGTCTTAAAGCTTAGATACTGAAGTCTTCCCTTTTTTCACATTATAAAAGTAGACAGGCCCGTAAGGCCTATTGAATTATACAGATTGAGTGACTTTTTGTAGAAAATCTTCATTTTATAACATGCCGTAGTGCATTAAGAGTGCAAAACTGAAGTACAAAATTTGAGTCAAACCAGGTTCACCTATCACCATCTTGGATTTGCCAAAAAAATTGTCACAACAATATTCTGGTGCATTTTATAAGCTTTACAAATCAAGGTGTAGTGGAATTTAAAAATATTTCCACTTGTTCAAAATAACAACATAAATGCTGATGATAATGCAGGCATATATGGTGAACAAGTAGCAAAGCCTTTAAAAATACTTTGTTGAATATCTTGGCTCCACATAGTCTACAGTGTCTTTGTCATCTCTTTCAGGTTTTTTTTTTGCTCCTAACCACACAAAAGGTCATAAGGCTGCTTTCCCCCAACCAAAAATGATGCCAGGTTCAGTCCCCAACACCTAATGCATGAAATTTTTGAACTTAGTAGAGAATGACAAATAATTGATTAAATTGTTCAACTACAATGATCCCTATAATTATCTTAAAAAATAGCCATTGGTTGATTGATAACTCTTTGTATCAATATCTTATAAAACTTTAAACAGCCATTGGTGTGCTGGACAAACTTGCAATAATGTTTTGCCAATGCTTAGACATTAGACAATGATAAATCAGATGCAAGAGGAAATTGACAAGTACAAGCAAAATTCAGAGAATGTTCAAGAATAAGAAAGTAGTTTCAGGTCAGTGACAAACTCAGAAAACCCACCATTATATCACTCTAATCTAATTATTTAAAATCACTCTGATTAAAATACGATATGATTTTCCCTAGATGATGGAATCTGAACTTATGATTTTATTTTACTATTAGGATATTTAGTCAACATTAGCTGTTGACTATTAAATGTTTGAGTTGTGTTTAGTAGGGATAGCTGCTTTACGAAAATATTGAATGAGTTAATTTCTGGCATTCCATAATATAATTTAATAATATTGACTTGTAACATTCATGCAAAAATCTACATTTTGAAATACATGGATTAGTGTACAATATTAGATATTAGTTTATTATTTTATAGAAATGTTGGATCAGCAGTTCAGTGCTCTGAAGACAGTTGTCTCGAAGTGGTATGATGAAAACAAATGTCCTCCTCTGTTGAAAGTGTTGTTTAGAGATAAGGTGAAACATGGGACACTAGCAGAAATAACTAACACAATGGACTGAATGATTTGGTTGTACATGTTGAGATAAATTCAAATGATCTCACTTTACTGTACGATACCGTCAAAATAACTGAGCATTATGGTCTCAAAATAAAGATTCAAGAAACACTGCCATCATTCTCAGATGTTAAAGAAAGAAACTTTCAACAAAACATTTCATACTTCACAGGTAAAAGCTTACTGTAAATGAAATTGGGAAACGTATTGACTCCACTTGACAATATAATACACCACTCAAAAGCAGTATACCAACAGCTATGGTCATTGATGTTGAAGACAGACTGGAAATCAGTGAAGGAAATATGAAGGAATTCATTGAGTCTTTGGAAGACCTTAATCTTTGCATGGCGTTGAAGGCACTGACAGAAGGTATTATTCACTGTTTTAAAGAAGGTCGTTATTATGTCAGCCATTTTGACTGTCGTAAAGTACCTTCAAATTGTATAGTATATTTATATTTTTATACTGTATACTACTACGGTGTTAACAAACATGTTTTGTATACTGGTAAAGGTGATCTTCGTAGATATTAAACAGTGCTACAACAACAACAAAAAAACTGTTTTTTTATTAACATTGTTTTTTAGCACATATTAACAAATTGTAAAAAACAATTTTATGTATTTAAAACAATTATAAAAGTTTTAAATTTATTACTTTAGGCATCAATTTACCAAGCTATGGAAGAAACTTGTTGATGAAGGAAAGTTAGTCGGACATCCTTGGAGAGATGAGCTTAGCAAAGACGAAACTAGCTGTGAGGTCTTCTTGGAATTAATGAAGTAGTTTGGACTGCTCTTTGAGCAGATTAAGGTACTATATTTAGATTAATAAAAGTTTTTTTTTTAATTATCCTCTTTCCTGCTATTTTTTAAACCAAAAGTATGGATAAATTGCCATGTAAACTAACTAAGAATTATTTATCCATTTACTGATTTTTTCCTGATTTGCTTAGAGGGTGGAATCTGAAAAAATAATTATTAATAATTTAGTATTTAATTAAATTTAATAAATACTATAAAATGATACATTATTTTGATGTAATAATTATTCATTATAGATGAAAAATACTCAAACTATTTAATATCAATTAATCATTACTATTATATTACATGTCTTAGATAAAATTTTCAAAACGTTTCATATCAAAACAAAGAATGATACGACATCCTCAACATTGCTTTAAATGCTTCTGTCATTATCATCTTTTTACTGTGTAGATGTTTCGCATTCTACTAATTTCTGCCAGTTCTGTCCTGGTCGAGTTTTAATATTGATGTCTTTATTTTTCGTCTAGGATATTGCAATTGATTGCGGAAGAGATTGGCAAGGACTGGAATTCATTTGGCGGCACCGTTGGTCTAAAATGGATAGCATTGAGATGGACTTTCAGCAACTGTGGACGCAAGTCTGGAAATGCTGGTCAAGTAGCAAGAAAGTAAACCACCTTGGAGAGATAGGCTGTTACTAAAGAACTCTGGGAGTACTATCTTAAACAAAAAGTAATGAAAGAACATTTGTAGGTACACATTGGTACCAGAATTTTGAAAGACAATTACACAGTGATTAGGCCTGGGGCTAGTTTCCCACACTCCCTTCAGTGAGAGCATGACCCCACCACTGTGATTATGACTCTCAATGTGATATCTTTTAAGAATTAAGAAGATTAATTGAAATGTTTGAGGGCGTTGTTTAGTATACCTAGATCGAATGTACATTTAGTCGGATAAAGATTGTGGACAATGCTACATATTTTAAATTTAATTTATATTTAAAACAATACGGAATTCCAAATCATTCCGGTAGGATGCAGTATTTTTTCACTACATAACAATTTTTATTCAAAAACTAAAGCTCAACTGAATACAATTCACTGTACAGTTTCAAATTCCACAATGAATAATGAAAAAGAAGCATTTAAAAAGGCTACACAATAGTAGGCATGGCCCGTATCCACGGGCTGGGATGGTTGCATACGCAGCTCCTTATTAAAAAAAAAAATGCTCGGTATTTTTAAGACAGTTAAAAATATACTGAGTTAAAAAAAAAAAAATAACCAGTAATCTATCAGAATCTGACAACACCCTACAATACCAAAGCTGTGATTCAACTGGCTCTTCCCCTTTACACTGTCAGTGTTTCTAGGCGATACCCATACCCCACTTGGTCCGTTTTTGGCTATCCTGGCTATGACCCGAAATGGTCACATCCTCGTCCCTTGTTCAGTGAATTAAATTAGAATAAAATAGGCATTTTTCAGTTGTACTTCATCTTGGTTTTGTAATGGAGATTATTATTCTATTTCTTTAAAGTGTTATATAAGCAAAACTAATGCTATGTAAATGTCTTGTAAACTATAAAGGAACATAAACATTATTGATATCTGAAAGTATGAACTGAAGGTTTTAGTTATTGTGTGTATATTTTCAAGATTATATTAGGCAAAAAAAAGATTGTTGTGTTGTTTTGCACTTAAATGGAAAAAATCTAGATCATCGGTCGGTCAGTCATTCAATCGGATTTTTTTTTTCCTGAAATTGGATAGGCCTCAAACTGCAGTCCCTATTAGGAAGGCTTCGTAGTCACCACAATAGAAGGCAAGCTTTCCAAACAAAATGTGTTCAAAAGTAATGACAGAATAAATACTAGCACAAGTATATGTATAATTGAAATGAACGAAAATAAATCAGTTTGATGAAAAAAAATTTTACTTGAAAACGTAAAATTATTTGTGTATCTGATCCACACGATCACGCATAGGCAGGTGACTCAAGCAAAACCATAATATATCTACGAAAAATATCCAAACATGCGCCCTCTATGTAATACAAGCGAGCGAAGTAAACTTGAGAAAAAACAAAAGAAAAAAATTGGTTCGTGGTTGGCCTAAAATTAACTTAGATAACGTCTAGCTATGTATCGGCTTTAAAGCGATGGCTAGACCTAAGCCTGTGTTAATTAATTGTCCAATATACCGTTAAGTAATGAATACGATTTTTGATTCAAGCAGCCACTAGTTGTACATTAGTAAAGAATAGGCCTAGACCTGGTCGTGGCTTGACAGCTCAAGCCACATACAGGTACATAGTCATACATAGTAGTCGTCGCGCTCGGTTCTCAAAATTATGCCTTCTATTTTACCGATTTTACGCGTGCATCTGTTGCCCAATTTTGGTAAAAATACATGTCTGGTTTAGATTTTATATTCTAAATGTTAATTTCGGAAGCGATATTCTCAAATTTGTACTTGACTGAAAGTAAGACCTTTGAACAATAAAAAAAAAAAAAAAAATACCGACCCGATTTTCTGGGAAATCTTGATCGGTCGCGGAGGGTAAGACAACTTATTATTTTTTTTTTTGGCCTGATTATCCATACAATTCCCACACGTTATGCGCAACAGCTTTCGGTGATGCTAATTGGTCGGTCGAATCGAGGAGCCTTCCCGATTGCACCGAATACGCTCTACCGCGACAATGTAGCGATTTTAAGAATATAAGGCTTTTACCGCTTAACCTTTTTCTGATGATTATTCAAGGAGCAGAGAGAATTATAACGCTGGTCGGGGTTTGAACCGGGGTCTTCAGCATAAATAGCAGGAACAATGCCTTTCAGCCATCAGCTCAGCTTATTACTATTATTTTTTATTATCATTTGTTTTATTATTATTATTATTACTATTTGTATTATAATTTGAGAAGGTCGATTTGTTTGATATTTCAGACTTGTATTGTAATGTGAATTTTTTACCATTTTAATCTATTGAGTTATTTCTTTCTCCCCAAAATGGAAAGCCTTATTCTAATCAATTCTTACAGGGCATTTCTTGAGTTCCTATTTAACGTTCATTAAAATATCGTAAAAGAAAATAATTTTACACTAAAACGAATTTTCAAAATTTTCAAAAAGGACTTGTCACCTACAAATGCAACACGTGAGAACTCATTATTCGAATTACGTTAAGTACAGTGGAAGGAGCAGAGTCATATTCAGTATGTGTAGAACGTACCACTTAAGCGAGTGCTGCTGATACAAAGGCGTATTATGTTCTGTATTAAATAAAACGTAATTATGTGTATATGTATGTATTATACACGCATTATACATGTATGAAAATGATTAGGCTAAACTTGATTGATAATTCAAGACAAATTAATGAGTAATATTTAATTATTATTGCTGCGTCGTACCTCATAAACACAATATAGGCCTAATTTATTTTATGTAAATGATATCCCAAACCATGCACTAATTGTTATTACACCTTAGCTTATCTTTGTAGTCAATTAATACTGAGCGGTTCAAATACTTCACATTGTCATCACATCCATGTATATAAAAATAGTGTAGAAATTTAATACTAGATATTTTAACATACAAAATATGTGAATCAGAAATACCCAGAGACACTTCAACAAATGAAAAAGGAAATTTTCGTTAAAAAATTTTGGATTGGACGAGGGAAACGCTTTCCTGACGAGAGCAAAGTGGGCGTGATCGAGCGTTGCTTAAAATGAATCGAAAGTGGTCCAGAGGGCGAAGCCTCCAAAAATTTTTAGTTGTTTCAAAAGCTTATTTAAACAATTTTAGAGCCTACTATATGTACAAAATACATAGAATATTTTTCTTTCGAACGAATTGTGTTTTAGTTCCTGACTCCCTGACGAGGGGCCAGCTCCAACCCGAGGGGTCCTGGCTCTGCCCCCCACCCCCGCTGGCGCCACAAACTTATTACGGGAAGTACCCTCAAGAACACATCACCCCTGGTGACTAAGTTGGCCATAGGGAGGTGATCGGTCTGCTGTGAGCTTTTTGTAATAACGCACGAAAGCATGTAGGCCTATTTAAACATGTCGAAGATGATATTTTGTTATCAACCGAACGCTATAGGCCATTGCGGAGGCATCTTTCTCTTCGAATGATCATGTTTTGTGGGTACTTTTATCCATAGCATTTACTTCTGGCCTACAAATACTCAAAATTACATTAGTGTCCGATGTTAGCAGATAGTTTTGTTATAGATTAAATGTACGTACAATAGGCGCCTGTTATTAAAAATAGCCCGATTATTATTTTGGCCCCGAAACCTAGACTCAGAATTAATTCAGTTAGGATTAAAATAATAAATTGTACAATATTCACTTATATATTGGGCCAGGATGATTGGTGGGAATAGTTGTACTATTTTTAGGCCAATTTTAAAGCCCTGACGTTCATACCATCAAACCAGACCCCTATAATTCGCGCCAGTGGTTATAAAACCTTAACGCATGTTATTATTATGAAAAAACAAAAGCCGGATTGTTTACTTGTAAGCATTTTCATTTCATTCCTTATATTTAACCACAATTTACATAAAATGGTTAGTAAAAGATAATAGTGTCTCTATAACCCACGAGGGGTCTATTGTCCCTTTATACCAAAGAAAGATAAAAAGGAAAAAAGTGATAAATGACCAAAATAAAAAAACAAAAACAAAAAAAAACAAAAAAACACAAACATACTGTAAACTATAAAATAAAATAAAGATAAGGAAAAGTATTTTTCATTGGGGGGGGGGGGGATGATTGGCGTGTTAGCCAGTGTCGTCGGGGCAGGGGGAGAAAAGAAAGAGAGTAGAGGGAGGGAAAGCGAAAGAAGAGGAAAAGAAAAAGAGAAGAGAAAAATAAAGACAAGAATAGAAAGGAAGATATAATGAACAGATATCACAATACCCGGCAACCCCTTCTCCACTTCAAAAGGTGTCCATTATCGCATTTGATCTAAGATGCCAGATAATCCCTGCAGTAGCGTAACCACCGGATGACAAGAGGAAAATATCCATCTGAGGAAAATCTTTCCCCATTGAAACCTAATCACCCCGGAAAATGCCTGAAACCATCAAATTTGGAGCGCTTTGCGCACAATTTTGGTTGAGGTAGGCCTTTCCTCAAAAAATTGCACACTTTAGGGAGTTTTGAACAATTTCGAAGAAATTAGAATTAAAAACGATTTTTCGCGCGCTTTGCGCGCAATTTTCAAGGTTAAAGCTTGTGCTCGCCCTCCTGTGCCTTTTAAATTGTTTAAACACATAATATAGTCCCAAACTTAAGAAAGAAAATTTAAGATAAATCGTTTTACCAAAAAGAAGGGCCTCAATGTGTAATGATGGTGAAAGAATATATTTGTAATAAATAAAGCCATAATGAAAATGGTTATAGTCAGTTTTGAAAGAAACGAGTGTGGCCATATATAACATAAGCGTATTTCTTGTTGAGGTAGGCTAATTTCCTCTTAAAATCTCACACTTTAGGGAGTTTTGATCAATTTCGACGAAATTAGAATTAAAAACAATTTTTTTTCGCGCGCAAATTTTGAAGGTTAGGGCTTGTGCTTGCCTTCCTTTGCCTTCTAAGTTATTTTAAAACATAATAGTCCCAAACTCAAGAAATAAAATTTAAGATATATCGTTTTACCTAAAAGAAGGGCCTCAATGTGTAATGATGGTGAAAGAATATATTTGTAATAAATAAAGTCATAATGAAAATGCTTATAGTCAGTTTAAAAAAAAACGGGGAAAAAAAACAAAAAAAAAACGAGTGTGGCCATATATAACATAAGTGCATTTCTTGTTGAGGTAGGCTAATTTCCTCTTAAAATTGCACATTTTACGGAGTTTTTGATCAATTTCGACGAAATTAGAATTAAAAACACTAAATTTTTTCGCGCGCCTCGTGCGCATTTTTTAAGGTTGAAGCATGTGCTTGCCCTCTTTTGCCTTTTAAGTTATTTAAACACATAATAGTCCTAAACTTCAAGAAAGAAAAGTTAAGATAGATCGGACCTAAAAGAAGGGCCTCAATGTGTAATGATGGTGAAAGAATATGTTTGTAATACATAAAGCCATAATGAAAATGCTTATAGTCAGTTTCAAAAAAACGAGTGTGGCCATATATAACATATGCGCATTTCTTGTTGAGGTAGGCCAATTCCCTCTAAAAATTGCACATTTTAGGGTGTTTTGATCAATTCCGACGAAATTAGAATTAAAAACACACAAAATTTTCGCACGCTTCGCGCGCATTTGTTAAGGTTAATGCTTGTGCTTGCCCTCCTTTGCATTCTAAGTTATTTAAATGCATAATAGGCCCAACTCCAATAGAAAAAAAAATTAAGATAGATCGTTTTGCCTAAGAAGGGCCTTAATCTGTATTGATGGTGAAGGAATATGTTTGTAATAAAACCATGATGAAAATGCTTATATTTAGTTTCAAACACACGTGTGTGTGCCTTTATTAAAAATAACATAAGCCCTATGTCGTATTTTTTTCTATGTGGGTGGAGAAAAAATGATGGGGTATCACACCGGGTCATAAATTACTAACCGGGAAAATTATTATCTTTGCCCATCCCCCTCCCCCTCCCGACCCAAGACCCCTGTTACGCGCCTGGTCACAATACATTTAAAAGTCTCGATAAAATTTTGTTTGTGACGTTTTGTGGCTACTTCACATGCAGAACGCATTTGCTCAATTTTCATTGGAAATTTACGACGACCCTTTATTAAGTAAAGATACTTTATTGACGGAATGAATGATTGACGGATTCTCTTTTAACAAAAACAAAAGCCGAATTGGACTTTTACTGTTTACATGTAAGCACTTTCATTTCATTCCATATATTTAACCACAATTTACATTATTATTATTATTATTATTATTATTAT